GACACTGGGAGATGTGTGTTTTTGCCTGCTGCCTCTTTACCAGGCCCAGGATATAGCTGTGGGGAGTAGGGGGTACTCCTGTACCTAAGAGCTACTTCATTTGATACAGTGCTGTGGGACTCAGGAATGCAAGGCCCATTGGCTCTTAAAACCAGGTAATCTGGGGGCCCATCCCCTGGGAAGCAGCCACAAAAACTGGGGTGCCAGCCATTTGTAAAAACTCCTTGCAGGGAGACACTGGTGACTTGGTTTTGTTGCTGGAGTAGGTTGAAGAGAGGGCCAAAAAAGTGTGTTTCTCTGTCTGGGGAGGATCACAGCCAGTCACTTTTAAAGTATGTGGAAGTTTTGCCCTGGCTGGGTGGCTCAGTTGGTTGGAGTGTTGTCCCACACACCAAAAGATTGTGGGTTCAATTCCCGGACAATGCACATACCTAGGTCGTAGGTTCAATCCCCAGTCAGGGTACAAACAGAAGGCAGCCAATCAATGCTTCTTACATTGATGTTTCTCTCTTACAACCAATGTGCTTTTTCTCTCTTCCCCTTCCTCTCTCTCTAAAAAAATCAATAAAAACATCCTTGGGTGAAGCTTAAAACAAAGTATGTGGGAGCTTTTGCCTGCTCCCTCTGCTCTAAGTCCTGGAATGGGGGTGGTTAGGGGTGAATGCTCATGAGCTCATGTACTTGTGAATAACCAGGTTTTTCATTTTTTTCTTGTTTTTGATTTTTGCTATATTCTTAAAGGTCTCATGGACACAATCCCCACTGGCTTTGAGCTAGGTGTTTAGGGAGTCTTAAAAGTTGGAAAAGCATCATAAATATTGGCAAAATCCAGATGCTAGGAGTCCAAACTCTTTGCTCCTCAGGGAAAAGCTGGTAGTTGGGGGTTTGCTCCTGATTGTATGGCACTGTGCTGGTTTATGTCGAGAGTGTGTCTCAGCCTTTCCTAGACATTTCGGTGTGGGTATTCTCTCATTTGCCCAATGTGTAGGAGCCGCTCAGCTGGTTTCCGGATCGTTAGGAACTGCACTGAGTGCAGCTATATATTCGACATGTCTGTAGGAGGAGGGGAGCTCAGGAGCCTCCTATGTCACCATCTTAGTCAACTGCAATTTTCAATTACTTTAGCTATTTTCTTTTATCAGTTGAATCTATACTTCTAGACTGACCATTTCTCAGAATGGTCAAATACTCAAGTCATCTATCTGTTCCATGTAATTTTGTATGGCAACACTTCCTGGAATTCCTATCATCTTTTGCCTCTCCTGTTGAATAATATAACTAGTACATCTGTCTCCTTTCTTTGTTTACTCCCTCACTTTGTGGCATTTCTTAAGAAATACATCTTGAGAAAAGCTTATGGAAAATATGAGTCTTGACATGTCTGAAAATACCACTGTTTTACTCCACTACCATTATTTAACCAAACATGGACTTTAGGATAAAATGAAGACTTTTGGAGACATTGTTCCACTGTTTTCTAACTTCCAGTGCTGCTAGAAGTCAAATGTTATTCTGATTCTGGATCCTTTGAATGGGACCTATTTTCTTCTCAGAAACTTTTAAGATCTGGTCTTTGTGCCATACTCTGAAGTTCTGCAACATGCTTTGGTGCCAACTCTCTCAGCCTGCCAGGGCCATCACAACACAATGAACTACAAGCAGACACTGCTTGGAATGAGGGGGAACATTGCAAGGAAGCAAATACTCCAGATCTCTGGATGCAGCCCAATTTATTTGCAAAGTGTTTCCCTAGGTTACATGGTGTTTTAGGTAATTAAGTCCTTGCGATCACATCTCTGCTGACCTTACAGTATATTTCCTGTCTCTGGCTGTTTTCAGCAGAGATACTAACAAATACACTCACACTTGGGCGTATCGCCCATTGTCGCTCTCAGGTGGCTTTCCGAACCCAATTATCTATTCACACATATACTTTACACTCAGGGTGGCGGTCCAATGCATATCCATGCATACCTTATCTATTCATAAGCATATTTTGATCCTTGGCTGGCCAGGCTGAGAGAATGCGTACCTCAAGGTTCCATTTTGTTCATCCACCAAACCCCCAACCTTACTTTGGATAGTTTTTTTTGTGTGTTTTTTTTCTTTTCATTTTTCTGGGTGTATATTAGGCCTTTTTAATCTGTAATGTCCTGTCTTTCAGTTCTGATGAATTACTTACATAATTTCTAAGACAACTTTCTACCCTCCTTTCCCCTCCTAGCTTTTCTAGAACCTACTATTTAGGTATTATATTCCCTGAAATAATCCAATTTCCTTATTTTCTCTCACTTTCCATCTCTTTTGACTTTTTGTTCTTGTATTTGTAAAATTCCCTTAACTTGATCTTCCAAACCTTCCTCAAAGTATTTATTCTATACTTATTTTTAAATAACTTGCTTGTCCTTTATAAATATTTAAAATAGCATTCTGTGCTTATTTCATATGTACAATCAACACTAACATAGTGTCATAAATCTTGTGATAGATAGCTTCTTGGGAAAAACTTTACCACTTCAAATATTTTCTCTTTACATAGGGTTTAGTCAGCCAAAACTATGTGGCCTTTTAGTTCCCATGCTGTTAATTAAATTCAGTGTAAAATGATTTCTTCGGAACCTGTCAAGGATCACAAAATGTTGGAAAAAAAACCACAAAGTTTCATAGGAATATCTGTGCCCATCCTACAAGTAGAGCTGAAGTGTAAATAACTGCAAAATAAAAAGACACGGAGATGATTCCAGCCATCAGAGTTGGCCAAAGCACAGGGCTTCTGGCAGTGGACTGGAACGTGGAAAGCACTGCCCACTTGAATCAAAGTCCAGATGCCTGTGATTTCTTTTTTCCATTATCAGTTCATCATATTGGTTTGTTTTTGTTTTAAGGTCATCAGGCTTCTGAGCAAGAATTTCATCTCTAGAAAATATTGTGCCAAAATACCCTGTGTATGTACAATTTATTTAAATGGGTGACATGGATAGAATTTTTTATTGACTTTTTTGTTTTTTAGAGAGAAAGAGGAACATTGATGTGAGAAACATCAGTCTGTTGCCTCCCGCATGCTCCCTAACTGGGGATCAAACACACCACCTTTTGGTGTATGGGAACAATGCTCCAACCAAGCCACACTAGCCAGGGCGACATGGGTGGTTTCATATTGGCATTCTCTAATTGCAAGTAATAATGGCACCTTGTATCAGTTGATTAGTTTACAAAATGCTTTGATGTGCAGTCTCTCATTAAAAACCATATTAATCCTCATTTCACAAAGTTTGCAAAAGCAGACAAAAATGGTTAAGAGCCTCATTAGTCTTAACTGAAAAAAATAGAATAACACTGATCTCTTGAGGTTTGTGTATTTATATATGCAGAATGATTGTGTCCGATACATAGTAAGTCACCCAAAAGTGGTTGCCGTTGTGGCAATGCTAGAATTTGCCCGATAGATCCCAGCAGTGGAATTACTGCAATGCCTTAGTAAAAAAACCAATTCCTTGAGCCCAAGTTCTGTTATTGCTCATTTGACATACTCCGTACCAAACTGAGAGCTGTCATTCTTGTTTTTTCACTTAGTTATAAAATACCTTTCTCTTGTGTGTTCTGCATTTTTATTCAATTAACAAACTTTTCATAAATGGGAATTATCTCTCATACAAATTTGAGACTCCTCATACGTCAGCTAACTCAAGTTGATTGTATGTCCAAAATACTTTGCTGCAAAGTGTGCTGACAGAACTCCTAGTTTTAGGCAAATGGAAAATAACTTTAGTATTTAAATTTCTTAAAAGGATTTGTTCTGCTTAAGTATTCTATGAATTAAATTGCATAGCAATGTAATGCATACTTCTTAAGGATAGAATCAAACATACTTATAACTCCAAAAGATCTGGGTTTCTTTTGTGTATTGTTTGTTTAACGCAAAGGCTAAGAGCCTGGCCCATATGAATCTGTCTTATCGAAGGAGAGAAAAGTATGTCTTTGTGCCCATGCTCTTCAAGAGGTGCCAATTCCATGCCCCTATTCTGGAGATGCTGGGCTTCCTGTGATCCACAGAAGATCTGAGTTCCAGGAGACATGACCAGGAAATCCTTGTAAATAAATATTTTCATGTGCGTCTGTTTCCATAGTTTAGTCTAATAGTTCTCAAATGTCAGTGGAGGCAGGATTCACCTCAGGAACTTGTTATGAATTCCTACCTGGATCCCCTCCAAAAAATGGATTCAGTATGTATGATGGAGCAAGAAGTCTGCATTTATTTATTTATTTTTTTATCCTCACCCGAGGACATTTTTTCATTTTCTGTTCAGACAGAGCGGGAGGGAGAGAGAGGAAGAGACATAGAGAGAAACATCGATGTGAAAGGGACACATCGAGTGGCTGCCACCCACATGACCCAACCAGGGCTGGGGACAAACTGCAACCGAGGTACATGCCCATCGCGGGAAACGAACCCGGGTCTCTCTGGACCGCAGGCCGACGCTCTAACCGCTGAGCCAAACCGTCCAGGGCAAGAAGTCTGCATTTAAAACAAACTTTCCCCACTGCTGCTGTGATATGAGATTCTGACACAGGCAGTGCAAAGCCCACAAAGGAGCACTGCCTAAGCCCAAGGCTCTGGGGGGAATAAAAGGCCTCTTTCTACTTCTTTCCCCCAGGAAGTAGCTGAAACTTCTGAAGAAAACTGAGGGTCCTTGTTGCTGGAATTAGCCTGGGTCCACCACATACCTCTTTCCTATATATCCATTACCAACTTTGTTATTTATACTAATTTGGAATTTTTAAAAGACAACTATTTTATTAACCCTGTTATACAAAACATTAGATAAGCTATTTAGCAAGTAAGATTGAATCATTTTTTTCCTTCCTCATGCTTCTAGAACCTATGTACTAGACAGACTGTCACCACAATTTCAAGACAGACTCAGGAAAGACCAAAGGAATGCTGTTTCCTACCCCTGAGCAATATATTACAGTTCTGTTTTAATTTCCCCCCTACACAGCTATGAATTCCAGGTGAAACCAAAAAACCCCCTTGGAGAAGGCCCACCCAGCAACACAGTGGCATTCAGCACTGAATCAGGTAATCCCGTCAGCAGCGTTCCCAACAGGATGTAAAGGGCCACGGTGTTTTGCAATAGGGAGCTTGTTTGGAATCCAGCCAAAAACTGTGTACAGTTTCTTGAATTTCAAAAAATCATCTATGGGAAAAAAAACAATTGATGAGGGTACCCATAGGGAAATACCACTTATGTGCTTCCTCATTTATTTTGATGTCTGAAATAAAGTTAGGTGTATCAGTTTAAAAAAAAATGTTGAAAAATCTAGTGAATGAATGTTGTTCTGTATGCCAGCATCAGTGCCTAGAATCAAATCAGACATGCTGAGCTACACTAAATCTGGAAAGAGTTCATCTGATAGATTTGTTTTATGATAAGCAGCTGTGAAATTCTCTTATTTGACCTTCTAAGCTCCAATTCCCTAACGAGATACATCTGTACTCACAGCATCATTTATTTGTATAATTTTTACAACAACTGCAGTTCATGGCATCTTGGTGATTTTATCATCAGTAGTTTTTGTATGAAACAAAGAGAAGCTTTTAAAGTGGGAGCAAAAGCTAGAACAGCAATTAAGACGTCTAACTACTTAAATTACAAATAAAAGACACAGCTGACTATCTGGCAGATTTCCAATTGGGAGCGATTTCCAAAACGACACACACACTTCCAATTCCCTTTAAGAAAGAGGACCATTCTGTAAGTAAAATTTCTTAACAACTGTAAGCACCCACCTTCTTCACTGTGCCACTGGGACACTGAGACCTACTTACTTGGTAACCTGACTGTGTTGCTGTTTCTCCTCAGCGGATCCGAGAGTGAGCGAGCCAGTTTCTGGTAAGTACCTGTCTCAATGTGAATACAACTACATGCTTTTCAAAACCGATTCAACTACACAGACATAGTAGAATGCGAGTCATGATTTCACTTTAGTCCCTTTAGTCTTAGCGTTATCAATCAGGTGTGAATGCTTATGCAGAACATTCAGTTTCACTGACAGCCTATGATGTTTTGGGGACAAGTTGGGCATTTTGAAACTTGCTCTGGTTCATGTACCAAATTTTCTGTTTAATAATTGTCAAGGTATACCATCCTCATTTCCACTTTTAATAACAAGTCACATTAGAGCAGCTGTTTAAATTGTATATGCTGCAAAAACTATTTCCTCAGGATGCTGTCTACATCTATCACTGCAAAGGCTATTCAACACCTAAAAATACTCCTTTAACATTTACATCACTATTGACGGGAACTTAATTGGGGCTTTCTGTATGTAAACTATAATATTTTTCGCTCCAATATTTAGAAAAACCAGGCACCAGCAAGTTGACAGTGAACTTTGCAAACTGTTTGGTTTTGTTTTTTAAAGCTTTTAAGACAGCTGTTCAGTACCCAAAGTCAGATACTGAACTCGAACCATGTTTTCCTTATGCAGGAGGAAGAGATGCCATTTGGACAGAAAGACCCTTTGATTCAGACTCTTACTCAGAATGTAAGGGGAAACAGTATGTCAAAAGGACATGGTATAAAAAGTTTGTCGGGGTGCAACTGTGCAACTCTCTCAGATACAAGATTTACCTGAGCGACTCGCTCACAGGTAAGCAAAGCTACCAGCTCCTTTGAGTCTTGTCCTTCAGGGGAGCTTTGCAGCATTCTGTAACTTTGTCTTTTCTTTGGACAGAAACTAAGGTATGATGTAAACACAAATTTTCTTTTTGAACAAAATGTTACTAAAATAGCCTAGAAAACAAAGATTTGAGACATACTATTAGAAGGTAAACAATGAAAATGCAATTTGAACAGTGCCATTATGGCAAACTTGAATGTAAAGACACTACCCATGTTCAAGCTCAACTTTCTTACAGCCAACCAGGGATAAAAATCCTGATAATAAAATGAGTGTATCTAACAGTAACCATGGAAGGAATATGACAATTAAATTTTCTTTTTTTTTATCCTCACCCGAGGACATGTTTCGATATTTTGTTCAGATAGAGTGGGAGGGAGAGAGAAACACTGATGTAAAAGGGACACATCGAGGGACACCCTCACAACCCAACCAGGGTCAGGGACAAACTGCAACTGAGGTACGTGCCCTTAGCAGGAACCGAACCCGGGTCTCTCCAGGCCACAGGCCAACGCTTTAACCGCTGAGCCAAACCGGCCAGGGCAACAATTAAAATTTTAAGTCTGCTAGAGACAAGATCAAGATTACAACACCTGGCCGGATGGGTTATAAGCCCTTGCCCCAGACTCAGCAGGTTACTATTTTCTCTTCTGTGCTCACACATTAAAAATTTTAAATAAAGGCTTGCCCCGACATAGAAAGGGAGACATTTGTTCAATCATTCAATAAACAGTATCTGCTTTATTCTGACAGTTCCCAGTGCTGGGGACAAAGCAGCAAACAAGACACAAGCAAGCCTTCTTGCAGCTTACAATCTAGTTGAAAGAGACAGGCAACAAATATGTTAATAAGAATTTCACATAGTGCTTTGGAAAAAAAACTTAAAGAGTGGGAGAAATCGGCTGAATGGAAGCTCCTTTCATTTAGTTAGAAGGGTTAGAAAAAGCCTCTCTGAAAAGATAACACTTGTGCTAAGAAAAAAACTACCAGAGGGCACCAACCAAGCAAAGATCTAGGGACAAAGCTGAGGTAGAGGAAAGAGAAATGCAAAGGCCTGTGGCAGAACATGCCTAACCAGTCCCACTAGTGTGGCTGAGGCTTAGTAAGAGGACAAGGCAGGCAGGTATGAAGTCATGGGGAGCTTTGAAGCCAGGTGAGACTTTGGGTTTTATTCTGAGTACAATAGGAGATTGCTGGAGGGGAGTAACATTATCTGAGTGGCAGTTTTAAAAGATGCAGGAGATAGGAGGAAAGGAAGAATGAATGTCAGCTGGGAGACTGTTCATAGTTCAGTCAAGAGGCACTGGTGGCATCAACTAGGGCAAAAGTTGGGAGAAAGTACAAGACCAGGAAAGATGGATTATTTGAAACAATTTGATTATTTCAGAATTGTCCCATATCAAAGAAAACATTTTATGATACTTTTAATTTTTGGTTCTTCAGGAAAATTTTATAACATAGGCGATCAGAGAGGCCATGGAGAAGATCACTGCCAATTCGTGGACTCGTTTTTAGATGGACGCACAGGACAGCAACTGACTTCTGACCAGTTACCCACAAAAGAAGGTATGTGTCCTGAGTCCCTTCATAAACAAGACGGTTTTATAAATTAACCCAAAAAGAACTCAAGCTGAGGAACACAATCACTTTTCTATAGAAGTACTGTTATGATTTGACTAGAAAGAAAAAAGCTTTCATAAGCCCTTACTTAGTATGAAGACTTTAATAAAAGTGTCTCAACATTCCTCCTTGCCCCTAGGACTCTATTCCTTAGGGCCAAAGAAAGTTACACATATATAAATACATTCTACTTCAAGGAAACCTGAATAAAACAAGTGTTTCCTAAAGTTAAATCATTCATTTATCACCTTTATGATTTTTGTCAATACTGAGCACATAGGCATTTTTTATTCCCTTAAAACATTTTTTAAAGAAAACTTAGACTACCACAAATGGAAAAAGCATTATTTGCCTTAATTATATAAATTCAATTAAAATAGAACAATTCTGTTAAGAAATAACCACTGTAATGCTGAAGATATTAGCACTAAGCTGCTTAATGAGGATTAAAAAGATGAAAATTAATTTGTTATCCGCATTACACAGGAATCATCAAGATGTTCGTTAGGTACTTTACTAGTCTTTTCAGCAACACATTTTGTTCACTGGCACTTAAAAATACCCACCATAGAAAAGATGCCTTAATAAGAGCTGTGAACCCATAAACAGGAAGTTGAAACTGCTGTCCCATAGGGATTGGATATAAAACATAATCATTTTTATTTCTATAATATTTTACATTTACAGAAAATTTTAATCACTTAGTATAGGGTCCTTGAAAGTTTTGCCTAAGTTTAGTTCTTAGAAATGTAGCAAACTTAGAACTACCCTTAACATTGTGGTCAATATAGCACCTTCCCTCAGGTTAGTTCTTCACAGACCACACCAGTCGGCAATGTGCAGAAAGAACACTTTCACATAAGACAGAGTATACTGGACATAGTCAATGACACTCAAAAACACAAAACCCCTCTGACTCCTGCCCCTTTCCAGCTTTGTTTCACATTGCCAACAGCCCCACGCTAACTTGTTAAGGAGTTTCCGGTGCCCCTGATGTTCAGCCACTGTTAAGATCTCAGGAAAGACACCATGGCCTCTGTTGCTATCCAGTTCCTAAAACACTTCACCTAGAGTAGAGTGACCTTCAGCCATTCAATCTATGAGCAACGAGGGCAAAAATATAACACAGCAGCTATTATAATTAATTTTCCCTCTTAGGCTATTTCAGAGCAGTTCGCCAGGAGCCTGTCCAATTTGGAGAAATCGGTGGTCACACCCAAATCAATTACGTTCAGTGGTATGAATGTGGGACCACAATTCCTGGAAAATGGTAGATGCTGCAATCATGTTCACAAGTGCCTTCTGTTTCGTCGTGGCAAAAAAATAACTGCAAAACTATGGTATTTGTCACGTTCATTTAAAGCTGTTCTGTTTACTATGTATAAAAGTTTAAAATCTAATTGATAGCAATATTAGATGTTTATTAGAAAGATTGCTGAGAATATTTATCAGGTTTTACAAAGTCATTTTAAGAAAGCAAGATATTAACAGAGTAACATTTTTTGGGGAAGCTGGCTCCCTATTCATGGTATTTTAAGAGATCATTTGTATATTATTTATCACACTGTTGTAATGTTTGAGATACTTTTAATAACAATTAACATCAAAACTAATATACTTTTAAAAAAACGTTTACTTTTATTAATGTGTATTATTCCTACTGGTGAGTTAATTCCATAAATCTCTCCTTGGTTTAACTTATTAGATCAGATTAACTTCAGCATATATATCTGGCGGAAAAAGGTCCTATTATTCACATGTTTATTTAAACTTCCATTTTTTAACAATAGCTGAACAGCTTTTCTGAAGTATTTAAATAAACATTCATGTGAATATGCACTTCCTCAAATATTTGCAAATTACTACGAGGGTTTTATTTAAATTAATTTCATTTCAGCTAAAAATAGAATTGAGAATGATATATTGTTTCAAAAATACATTTTTTTCTTACTCTACTCATAATTATGTATTACAATGGCTGAATATACTTTGTCAAACTCTCTAAGCAACTGTCTTCATATTGTTTTTACTATAATTCTAAACAAGCCGTATGCAGAAACTGAATGTGAAGTCTGAGCACAAAACAACAGAGTAAGATCTCTACCATTTTACAGGATATTTACTGCATTTTCACACATAAGACTTCTAGGAATGAATGTATCAGAGGATGTTCTTCATATTCTAACTTAACCCTCACTGAAAATCAGACTCATTTTGCATTTGGGGAGGGGGTGAGGATGCTGCATTACTGCCCTCATTCTGAGGACTCTGCGCTAACCCCTTTCAACATGCTTCAATTTTACCAACGCTACGTTCTATACTTTTCAAAGAAGTAGAAACTCTGCAATAAAGAGATGTAGGTTTTTTTTTAATGCTGAGTGTTTTTTTTTATTTCTGAATGATTCATCTCCGTAAGTAAAATCACAAACTTATTCAGGACCTACCAAAACCTCCTGATAGCTTTTAATACTGTATCTGTTGTGTTTATATATAATACTAATCTATCTTCTTGTGACACATATTTTAAAGTTTCATCGTTTTAAGCCAATGATTGTTAAATGCATTTCTTTCAAGTCAGGACAAAAATCAAACAGCACTGTGTTTCTCTGAATAGAAACTGGAAACTCTTCTAAGTTAAATCATCTACATTTCATTTTCAGACAAAATATCGATAAGGATTTATTTCTTGCTTTTTTCTCATGTGTATATAATGTTAGTGACTAAATTAAACTACAAGACCACTAATGGATTCAATCATCTTTATTAACCTATCAATGTTACATTTTATACATAATATCTAGTTGTCTTTTCAAAGAGATCTACTTTTAGTACATCATGTTAATAGTAAAAAGCCAAATAAGATGGCTAAACTTTAATAACCTCTGCACAAGGCAAGCTAGAAAGTCAATCACTTTACACACACATAAGAGTAGTGTTCCAAAATTACTAGGCAGCTGCTACACTTTTAAGCAGGGGAGGAAAAACTTTCATTTTGGTCTTTTTTGTGTTCTAGCAAATTATACTTTTAATTAACAGCAACAATGACATCATAGAAAATGCTCTGCTTTTTTAATTTCTGAACTTCAATACAAATTAAAATAAAATAGTAGTATTGGAGTCTTTGGGGAGGCAAACAGCTAGCAGCTACATTCATCAGTGTAGCTGAGCCTCTTTATCGATACCCAGGTCCAGGTTGGGTATAGCCCTGACCAAAGGGAGGACGGTTACGTGCAAAAGGGTTAGGCCCACTTGGAGGAGGGGTCATGGTACTTGCAGACTGAGTAAAACCTGGTCTTGGTTGATAGGCCCCAGGTTGGCGAGGAGCCATCCCAGGCTGTGAGGCAGGGGCCACGGTATAATTAGTAGGCTGAGAAGTTTGGGTAGCGTAAGTATGTGGAGGGTAACTGCTCGCCTGGTATTGCTGTGGCGGTTGAGCAGGCAGTTGAGGCTGACCAGCAAAAGCAGCAGCTGGTGCCTGGGAAGTTGCTTGCTGGCCATATCCCTGGAACTGCTGAGCTTGTTGGGGTCCAGTCTGCTGACTATAGCCTGCTGAAAAGGCAAAATAAATAATGTATAAATAGTATTTTTCTGTTGGTAAAAATTTGCCAGAGAAATAGCCTTTACTGTTATGGACCAAAAATGATGAGAAATTTAACAAACTTAATTCTAAGTATTTATATAACAAGTAGGGTAGTAGATTCTATTATGTAATATTATTTCCAGACCAAGTGGTATCTAAAAATTTCTAAAATTTTTAAAAACCTGCTCATATTAAATTGAAACCTGTATACATATATTTCTTCATTACAACTGCTTCTAGACTATATAAAACCTGAGAGCAAATTCCTATTCTAATATAATTCTAGTATAGAGTAGATGCTCAAATGATAAAGGTCAGAATGAATACAAAAACTAGTCATTAACCTGGTTTTGAGAAAAGGCCTAATTAACAACAGTTCCAAATAAAACACACTGTACAGAATTAATATTTAAAAATGAAACAATGGTGCTACAAATACATCTATTTTGCTATTGAGATTCTTTAAAGGTTCGTTCAGTCACTCCATAGAAACTAAGCCATTTAAGAGTAAACATTAAGTACCCATCTTCATAACACTTAAAATCTTTCACTTTTTTTAGATTTAGTATCTGATGTTTGTTTGCCTTTACAACTCAAAATTATGTTTTAGCAGTAACAACAAACACATAAAGAGCAACATCTATATTCATTATTTACTAAGGATGTAAATTTTTTTTGAAAAGAAAATGTCTGCTTCACTAAAAACTTTTATCTCTACCATGAAACACACCTGCAGCTACTTGCAATGAAACCTCTCCATTGACTGGAATCCTGTCAGCATTAAATACCAGATACATAAGAAAATTATTAAAATATGTACAACCCTGCATTTAAAAAAAAAGGATTGAATGAATTTGAGTATATTCTGAACTCACCTTGAACCTGGGTTCAAAATTTACTCATGAAAGAAACCTTTTTGACAAAGTCCATGAATAAAACTGGAAAAGGTCAGAGGGAAACTGGCAAACCAGCAGTGTCAAAAATGGTCCAATGTTACCACCACCACTTAGTCTCCAAGCAGAGTATTCAGTTGGCTATTCCCATCTCCCAATCAAATTCAAGTTAATAGGACTAGTGGGATCAGAAATACAAAGACAATTTCAAAAAAGCTAAATTTTATTCAGAGTGGAGACTCTGGCTAAAACCATTAAGAGCAAGTTTAATTTTTAATAACTAATGCATTTTACTTATATTATCTAAACATTGAACTCAATTCATGATCAAATCTTGAATGTCATACAGTTTCTCCTATCTTCTACATAAAAATTTCTAACTTACATTTTTTACTATAATATTTTGGAGAAACAGGACTCAGCTTTTATACTGAAAATGTCTATTCAACTTAAGACTGTGAGCAAAAAACAAAACTGCCTTTTCATCCTGGCAACTGAAATCTAAACTGGCTTTTAACTGAGTCTGGAAACAATCAGATCCTTAATTATTTCTTCAGAGAGAGAGACTAACCCCTAAGGGCCTAAAATGCTATTTCATTAGCAACCTACTAGTCTTTGACCAAAACAATTGACAACACTTCTAAATTTAATGTATACTTTCCCTCAAACCAACATCCTCTCCCTTAAAGAATGAGTAACCTGAAAGAACACCAAAAATCATAAGAAAATGAAAATTGTGGTTTGTTTGTTTTTTTTAAATAAATGAGTACTATAGGACAAGGGGTGGTCATATGGTCCATAAAGCCTTTTTTTTTCCCCTCACCTGAGGATGGAGCAGGAGGGAGAGGAAGGGAGACAGAGAAACATCGATGTGAGAGAGACACATCAAGTGGTTGCCACCCACATGACCCCCACCAGGGCCAGGGACCACTGCAACTGAGGTATGTGCCCTTAGCAGGAACCGAATCCAGGACTCTCTGGTCCACAGGCCAACGCTCTAACCGCTGAGCCAAACCAGCCAGGGCAAAGTCTAAAATATTTACTATCTAGCCTTTTATGGTGGAAAAGTCTGCCAACCCCTGATCTAAGTTTGAGAATGCAGAATGATATATAGGAAAGTAATTAACTGAAAAGTCAAGTGCACTGGGTTCTGATCTAGCAACCCCACTGAATGGCTGCACGTCCTTCAGTGCGTCACAACCTCTCCAGTTGCCTCATTTATAAAATGAGTGAGTGGGACAAAATCAGTGGTCCCAACCCTGCTGTACTTTAGAATGACCTGCAATGCTTCTAAAATAACAAAGCCTGAGTTCCACCCAGACTAAATGGAACAAAATCTCTGGGAGAAGGGCCAAGGCACACGTAACTTTCAACAAAAGCTCTCTGGGTGTTTCTGAAACATACTGAGGACTGAAATCCCCTGGATTAGATGATGATCAGTTCTCTTCCACTCTGATGTCTATGATTTCTACAAATTACATAATTTGTAACATTCTTATTTTCTTTAATTTTAAGGACTACATTCTAAAAATAACCTTCCTTCTAATATCATAGTAAGTTTGAACTCATTCTACCTATTTTATATAATTAAAAACTAGCAGCTCAGGTTAAATTACTCTATTTAATAGCAAATACAATCCAAATAAAAATCGTGTGAAAACATGTCAAACTGCAATTAATGACAGAATACTGTGGTCTAGTTCAGGGACAGGCAAGCTTTTCTTCTGTAAAGAGCCAGATAGTAAACATTCTATATTTTTGTGGGCCACACAGTCTCTATTGCAACTATTCAACTGTGCCA